CGGACTTTCGAGTCAAAAATCTGAATTCAGAAGTAAAAATACCTACCTCTGGAAAAAAAATTGCGAAAAAAAATCGAAGAGTTTTTACAAAACTAGAGTTGTTTCAATTGGCAGTTTTTAGCGCTAGGACCAGTGTCGGAAATGACTTCAATATTTCCAAATTGTTTTGATGTTTTTATTTTCACGGTCAAATGTCAAATACAAAATGGTCGACTAAAAAATACAATGTCGTCACAATTTCTACGGCGACAGATATTCTCTAAAAACGGCTTCACGTCGACAATGATAATAGCAATCATTCATCGCTATCGACAAAAAACGACAACCCTAATACTGTTATTTTCGCCTCGACTTCATTTTGCGACGACGACAACCGTCATCCCAACCATCATATGGTGGATAAATCTCCACCACCCAGACGTGTCAGATAGGACATACACGATCTAGAGAGGGAGGTAAAACGATACAAGTGAGAACCTCTGGACCAAGAAGCCTATCAGGCAGGTCTGAGTGGCATACATACCGACGCAGTCGCGGATGATATTAGCAGTTATAAAATTAATGCCGTCCTCGGAATCCATCCCCATCGAGGAAGGACAGGAGCTGAAGAACGTCAGTTGCCTAGACAAACCAAGGTAGTTTTGGCGCAATTACGTTCGGGATGGTGTAGTCGTCTCAATTCGTATTGGGCACGAATTGATTAAGATGTGCGTGTCGCCTGCCCGACGTGTGATACAGGCCCGCACAATACGCTACACCTCCTTAATTGCACAGCCAAACCTACCCAACTCACTCCAGAAGATCTCTGGCTACAGCCCATCAAAGTAGCCGAATTTCTAAACCTGGAGCTGGAACCAGCTTGGCAGAACGCAAACACTTGCATGTAGTACTGCTACACCAACAACAACCGTAATGGGGCCGAATGAATAAAGTACGAAAATGTGAACCTATATGCACAACTCTCTACCAGGGATATTTTTACCCATCACAAACCACAAATGCTAAGCTATGAAATCACGAATATCGGAAGGCACCGGAAGGAGTAAATGTGGATCTGTGTAGACCTGCAAGAAGGATTAATACCAATTACACGATGTCAGTCAATTCCATTGAAAAGTCTGACTGAAATCATTATACGGCTATAATCTTTTCGAAACTGCAAGAAGAGTCGCCTTCTGCTAATTATTATTGATTTATGGAGATCGGTCCAAAATATATATACATATTTTTTGTTTACCCATCATTAATCCCATGAAATATGTACGTCAAAGATGTATGAATTGAAAGTATTCCCCGCCTAAAAGTATGCTAATCAAAAGTTGTTCAAAAGATAGGTTTTCATATTATTTTGTGCAACAATAGGATTATTTTCGCACTATTTCGTAAGAAATGAAAACACAGAAAATAGTTTGGTATTCAAAATTGCATATTATAGATTTCAACAATGTCCCATTCAATGTGTTTCATTATAAAAAAAAAATAAAAATAAAATTTATAAACAAAATAAAATCAAAGCAAAATATTTTATTATTTGGTTTACATTTTATTGAATATTTATATTTGGAAAGGGGGGTAAAATTCTGAAGGAAGTAAAAATACTTTCTAAGTAAGACAATTATGTAATTAGAGCTGTGTGCTTAGAGTGTGAAAGACGAATTATAAATATTTAACAAACAACCCAACTGTAGTTAACTTTCATTATACAAATTTCATTTGTTCGGCAGAATTGAATAATATTTTCTTTAAATCGTAATAGTAGTATAAACAAATAAAAAACCAAGTTATTCTGTTTATTGTTTAAAAACGAAATAACAATATAAAAAATAAGTCATAGAAAAAATTGTAGATTATGTATTATTTAATTAGATAACTTTAAAATAAACTATGGCTATAACAAAACGTCATCATCATCATCTCATCTGTCATCTCCTGTGTGAATATTTGCTTTGGAAAAAAATAATTCTCTTTTCTTTAAGAATCATATGTAGTCTAAGTCTAAATTTCTTTTAATAAGAAATTAAAAAAATCTCAGTTTTAAGAGAAAATTATAATAATTAAAAAAACTTGCAACTAGTTAGTTAGTTATTTTTGAAGAGAATTTATAGTTTTTCATAGATTTTAAAATTAAAAGCATTTAAATGTGTTGTATTGATTTTAAGTTTTTTGAATTATTAAGTTTAAATTTGTTTATACATCTCAGTTTTTTTATATGCTAGGTATATATAGTAGAATTGTTGTTTTTTTTTATTAAATATGTATATATAAAAAATTACATTTTTATATATGTATGCATATATATGTATGTTTTGATTCTAAAGAATTAATTTCGTTTCGTTTTTTTTTTTAGTTTTGTAAAGAAAACTGATAAAATAGTTTCTAAAAAAGGCTTGAGTTTTTTTAAATTTTTATGTGATTTAGTTTAGGGGAATTGAAAAGTTTTTCTAATTTACAATACTAATTTGCAAATTGTTATGTTGTTTTTTTAATTAGATTTTTACAATTGTTGTTAAAACTCAAGGCATAAATAAATCGAAATTTTAAAAATTAGATAGCTGCATTGTTCCATTTGGCTTTTGTTTAAAAATAATAATTGCTTTCAACCACTCATGATTCCTCCAGTCAATATCGAATAAAACAGATCATTAGTTTTCTGCAATCTTTTACTCCCTAGGTAAAAAGTATTTGAGATTGGAGGAGAGAAGAGTAAAAAGTAAATAGCCATTTTAAAGAAAAATCTTGAAATTTCCAAAAAAGTCATGGAAGGGGAGCCGTACCAAAATCTGCTAAACTATTGCAGTCGGTAAGCTAGCCAGAATACATAGAATGTATTCAAACATAAATTTATTTAAAGGTTCGAACGTAGATACCCTCGATTCGCTATGCGACAGGATTTAATGGCTGCTGATTGTAAGTAATTTTTGTCTTGACTTACTGGCTTCCAAGTAACTGATTTACTAATTTCCGACAATAAGCGTTCGGAATAAAGTAAGATGGTCACAAACAAAAAGTGTCACTTAAATTAGCAAATGCAATGGTCACGGATGTGATAGACAAAAAACTCCAATGGATTCATGGACCTGAATGACGGCTCAGTCGAAAAATAAACATACTGCAAAAAAGCATGGATGTGGGTGAACTGACAACGTACAACAATCGATGACTATCGAAAAAATCGTAGCTAACTTTCCAGACTCAGGGAGGGGTTCTCTTAACTTCGGGGATTTTCCGCTGCCAAATCCAAAACAGGAAAAAAGGAGTTAAAAGTCAGCAGAGGGACGAGAAACCATTCCTATAAGGCGACATGAATGTGATATGACTGTTACTGCATCGCCTTCTTGGGAGACTGCTTACTGAACTGATACTACGAACGGGAAGATTCATTCTAATCATGTATCCAACAAATTTTCTATGGAATAAATCGAAGGCAACCTCCAAGGGCTCTAAAACGACTTCTATAACCTCCACGGTTGCTAGATTTCTAAAGCAAATGATCGCAAAATAATAAAACCTCCAAACCAAGGTTTGATTAGAAGCTATGTCCAAAAATCTGTTACAATATTCCCTTCTTAATCAAAGAAGTCTCTGTAACGGAAAGCAAGGTTAGTGCGAAGATTGTCACAGAATGGGGAAAAGTCCACACAGAGATTTGTTAAACTGAAGCTAATAGAAAATGTCATTGATTTTCTGCTGAAGATCCCGGAGGATTTGTGGGATGCGATCGCAGATTGAACTGATCCCCATGGATATATAAGAGATTATTATTAATCGCTTATCGTAGTTAGAGTTCAGCCTCTACAGAGATTTGAGAAATCGAGTTGAACCCTCTAACCCACTCAGCTGCTTGATTTTAAAGCCAAATAATGCTTAAGGGAGTGATTCAATCCAAGGCTTCGAGGACTGACTATAATTTGGCCCAAAGAAGTCGGTACAATCACCAGCCATCAATCTATCGCCATTGTATGCCTCGGTAACAGAAACCAAGGTCAGTGCTAAGACAGTCGCAGAAACGAACGAAAGTTCTCATAGATATTTGCTAAGCCGAAACTACGACCAGATGGCATTGATTCACTGCTGATGCTTTTGAACGAATTAATCGAATTGAATCCGACAGATGTATCCGTAATGGATATTGATTGCTGATCTAGGAAAGACTTCAAAATTAGTCAACTGATATGTCCTTACGACCAGTACAGAGAAAAAATTACATAACCAGTCGGCAGATGGAGATTCCTTCAATCTGGAATGCAGCCGAAATGGTTGGTGATAGTCAAGCGGACCTTAAAGCTATCAAATTGTCATATGTGGACTCAATAAGCTTTGTTGGGTTCCAGGACATATCAATATGGTGGGTTGTGGTTGCTTTCACAGTGTGAAGATTCGAATCTTGTGGCGGACATTCCAATATTTTCTTGATAAACTAACAGGAAAAATTGCTTAAGAGCCAGTAAGATAATATTGTATTTTGAACTGGTTTATATATTCCATGCATCCCATCAACTAATACATTGTATAGAATAGTTCCTCTTAATAAAAGGTATTGGGGGCTGGCAATTAACATTTAATGTGTGCAAAGAAATCTAACCTGGCAATGGCTCCTGATTTACCGCCTGAAATGGTGTGAGCACGATATTAAAGCTAGTCGAAAAGCAGACAGATAGCTCATTAGGCGGCAATTCAATACATGATTTAAGAACCGAGATCAGGTTATTAAAGTAGACATCAACAGAACATAAAACCATTCCTAGGTGCTCGTAGAGGAATGCCGATTTTGGACTGGCAAGAATATTCTTACACATCCCGCCAGACTTTTAATTCGCATTTTACGATATTTTCTTAAATTATCAAATTTTAAACGTGTAAAGATTTGGGACTAGAAATGACAGAATTGCGAAGGTGACTCCTATTCGGCTCCTTTTCATTCGCCAATAGGGAGGAGCAAGATAATGAAATTAGGGAAAAAACCAGAAAGTGGCCTAAATGGATTTAGATGAATACTGTTGTTGTTTTTTTTTTTTTTTTTTTGTCTGGGTTGAATATTCTTACAGGATGCTCAACGTGTGCTTTTAAATACAAGGAAGCTGGTGCTTTAAAAAATTGAAAATATTATCAATAAAATTTCAGATTAGAAAAGGTATTCTGGTCTCTCATATGGTTTTTAGACCGACTTAATTTCCCATTTGCTATAAGACATTTTTATGTTTAAGCCTTAAAATGTCTACCCCTCATTCAAACAGATTTTTGCTGTCGCAAAGGAATACTAATAATCTTATATGACATACATTAAAAAAAAATCAACAAAAATCTCCGAATGGAGAACATTGTCTCGGTTTGCTTTATAAAATTATAACATGCTGAAAATTATAAACATGCTGTAAAGATCTAATGAGTTTTTTAAATTTGAAACTGAAGTAAGTTAATCTTAGTAAATCGTAGTAAAATATATTATAAGATATAATATATAAATATATTATGAGTTAAGCACAGAAATTCTGTAGCATAGAATCGTTGATGCCTTGAGTTTTTAAAATTTCCAATTTCTTTTTGATGATAAATTTCCAAAAATAAAAAAAAATCCTAAAGATATTTCCTTTTAATAGAATACATATAAATAGTGGTGTATAGGTGTGTGAGGGGTGTTATACTTAATAAATATAATTTTTTTACTTTAATATATATATGTTTTTTTATTAGTAAAAAGTGCACGTACATAAAATTCTCTCTCATTTCGATTTGTAGTTGTTTTCATTTGTATTTCTTGTTTTTGTTTATTTAATTGCCGTATATAGATACAAATTGAAGAAAAAATATAGTGGCTAACTAATACTAGATTTTTACATATTATAATAATATATATTTGTTTAAGTTTTTTTTTATATGTGTAGAGCAATAAAAAAGTGTTTAGAACATTTAAAGAGGTCTTAATTCTCAGTTTAGATAAAAACAAAATAAATTATGAAAAAAATAAAAAACATATTTTTTTACTAAGTTTATTGGTTTTAACAGTGTATTTTTTAAAGATTTTTCTTAATAATAATATTTTTTATATATTTTTTAGTTTGTTGTTATTTGAATAATACTCTCATGAATTTTAATAATTATATAATATTTTTAAAAAGTGTGTGTGTGTATAGGAGTGTGAGAGGCCATTCCACTGCCTTGTTTTGTTATTTATCTAGCAGTTTAGATAATAATATATTTAAAAATTATGTTTTAATTATTTTAGATTAATAGTGATTTTTTCTTGTTTATGTTGTGTTAAATTTCTTTCAGTAACAGTAATAATAATAATTATAATTATTATAATAATAGTTAAGAGCAGTTTTTTTGAAATATTTTTTTTTCTTTCATTTTATAATATTAAATAGTAATAATTATATAATAGTTATATAGTTTCACTCATTAAAGTAAAGCTTTATTTTTATGAAAAGATCTCAGTAAAATTCTGAAAATTCATTTGCAAAGAAACGACGCTTTTTATTTTTGTCGCTCATTTAGTTGTGTTTTCTTTTTTTTTTTTTTTTGAGAGGAATAAGGAAGGTTGCAAGTTTCTTTTTCGTGGATTTCTAGTACTTTAAGTAAAATGTTTAAGTATATGTGGACTTCGTTTGGGGATTTTATTTTTAGAGTTTCCTCTTTTCGGGTCTCAAATATGTGTGGGAGATGTTTGTTTTTCTTTCTCTTATATAATTAAGGATTCTTGTTTTCTTTTTTTGGGTAATTTACACTAAATATTTTAATTTCCTTTTCATTGATGATTGTTGTTGTTGGTTATGTCATTATTGACAAGCTCTGTGATGTTGGAGTCAGTGTGATGTTCTGTAGTATCACTGTAAGAAATAGAAACAAATTATATGATAACAAGAATATACGATGTTTGTAATTAATTATGAGTTCGTTAATTCTGCACTTGCAACATTGCACTATGCTGTTGAAATGATTTAATTTTTTTACAATAAAATAAAACATAATAATAAGTAAAGAGACATTAAGTACGACAGGGCCTAATTTCCAATAACCCCCACCATTATGTAAAGAAGAAATTTTTATACAAAAGTACGTGTTCCACTTTAAACTACAAACTTCATTAAGATCGGAAGGAGAATGCAGTCTGAGCTTTCAAAAAACAATACAGTGGTTGGAGTCATTATATGGGAGCCATTCCAAAACAGGAGCATATACAGGGTGAGATGAAAAAACTGCAACAACGTCAAACACGATAATTTTTACATTTTTTTAGATTTTTTTGAATGAAAACAAAAAATGTCGGAAATAACATCAATTTTTAGAATAAGTTTAGATTTGTTCGAATTGGTCACCTTTGGCACGAATTATGACCTTCAAACGGCCAATGAAATCGTCACACGCTGCCCGAATGTTGCTCTGCGGTATTTTGGCCCATTCCCGGCGAAGCGCTTGCTTGAGGTGATCGACACCTTGGTATTTTTTAGTGCCAACCTTGCTTTCCAAAATACTCCAGACACAATAGTCCAACTGAATGGTATCCGGAGATTTTGGTAGCCATTGTGCGCTGGAAATGAAGCAAGGAATCTAATTTTGTAACCATTGAGTGTGATGGTGCAGAGTCCTGTTGGAATGTCCAAGGTCTGCGGCCAAAATGTTTGCGTTCCGAAGGCTTTAATATACCCTCAAGATTATTTTCGCGATAATATTCGGCATTTCTTCTGATGCCACTGTCGATTAATACGAGCGGAGAGCGACCATCGGCTGTTATGGCGGCCCACACCATCACCATGGCCGGCGCTTGAGTTCTGGTGGTCAACCGAAGGTGCACATTTTCAGCTGACCTCTTTAGCAAGTAAACACGATCATTTTAGTTGTTTACAAACTGCTGGACAACGAATGTTTTCTCATCGGAGAAAACCAAATTCGGCAGTTCACCACTTTCGGCCAAACGAAGCAACTCTTTTGCTCTTTCGAGTCTATTTTCTTCCAGTTGCGGTGTAAGTTCTTGCACTTTTTGGAATTTCAATGGCTTTACTGCGAGCTCGTTTTTCAATATTTGCCAAATGGAATATTGCGATATGTTCAGCTCACGAACCATTTTTCGGCCACTGTGACGTGCTTTTCGATCTTTACTTTTTAAACCATTTCTGCTGATGTTGCTGTTTTTTCCGTCCACTTCCTTTACGTTGGGCTACGCTATCAGTATCACGGCAACGAGCGATGGTACGAAACACAATAGATTTATTTACATTTAAATGCTGGAGTGCTCTATCACGCTTAAATTCCATCACGAATAACTTTTTTCTGGGAAATTCTCACCAAAATGTGTGGTGGCTTAGAAATGACAGCAGTCTGATGTTGGTTGCAGGTTTTCCATCTCACCCAATATAGACAATTCTTTACTACAAAGATGGTAATCTGTTGCGAGTCTTAAATTCCAAATTTGACATAATTTCGTCGGTAAATGAGACTAGGATTATTAAAACACCGAATATCGTCTATATATCAAATACCGAACCATTGTATGGAAACCGTTGACCAATATTGGCAATGTTTTGTTTTAGAACCCATTATGAAGTACAAAGAACCAAATTTCACACAAATCTTTTAGAAAATGCGGCTTAAATCATCCGAATACCGAATATCCGGAGGTACCGTTATATGTGCGTTGCAGGAAAACATGGACCCAAAATATTTAATGTTCCGCAACAGGTGCAACCCCGTAAAAAAATCGGGAGGTACCGTTATACGGTGGCTATACGAAAACTTGAACCTATATGTACAATGTTCCTCTATCAGAGCTAGAACCCATTACGAACTAACAATGTCTTTTTTTAAACATATCCGTTGAAAAATGTGACAAAAAACATCAAATACCGAATATTGGGAGATATCCTTATATGGGGGCTAAATAAAACGTGAACCTGTATAAACAATGATCCGCCACCGGAGTTAGAAATCATAACGGACTACAAATACCAGTTTTACACAAATTGGTGAAAGAATGTGGCTGAAACCATCAAAATACTGAATATCGGGAGCTACCGTTATATGGGGTCTATCCCAAAACGTAGACCGATATATCTCATTTTCAATAACAACCATCCTAGACACAATACAAACTACTGTGCCAAACAAAACGTCAAATAATGTGGGCTGTATTGTGATTTCAACAGAAAGACAGACGGTAAGACATCGTTAAATCGATATAGAATTTTATGGAGATCAAGAATATATAAATACTTTATGGGGTCTATGACGAATATTTAGAGATGTTACAAACGGAATAACAAATTTAATATACCCTATTTTACAAGGTGGAGAGTATAAAAATGTAAATAGTTGTATAATTTTCCAACATAATAATATAATTTCAAAAGGCAATATAAGTCAATATAAAAAAATCGTCTGTTTTTTTTTCTTTTAAATTCTGACCTCAAGGCAAACAAAAAATCGAAAGAAAATACATTGATCAAAGATCCACAATAACTATACAAAAGTCGAAATATTTTAAACTCACCTCTTTTCGATTGGGCAGGCAATTTCCTGTTGTCCTTGAAACTGCAAGTTTTGAAGGTATTCCGCCCTGCGTTGGTGCACCAGCTTCTCTTTTTCGGCTCGTTCTCTCTGAAGTCTAAAGGACAAAAATAAAAAACGCAAAAATTCTTAGTAACACTCTTCAAAATATGTTTCAATTAAAAATAAGTACTTATATAAAAAAACAAAGAAATAATACTGCTCGAAATAAAACCTTTACAGTATCTTACCAGCGTTGTTAAATTTCCATCCCATATGCTGTGCATGGAATTGTATGATTGATAATTGTAATTATATATAGCTTTTACAATAGTTTATAAGTTGTTTTGTTTTTGAGAATATTAGATATTTAATACTGGCATAGATACAAAACAAATACAGAACTGGTATTAGAGATGCAATATACTTAAAAAATGTCTAAACATCGACGAATAATACTTCGAACGTGAGAGTGTACTCAGTGACGTATCCAAAAATGCATTTCGAAACCATTTCGGTGCAGTGGGAAAATATAAAACAATCACTTTTTAATGTAAAGTGTATAAAAATGTTCGAGGGTGCCCCCTACTTACTCCCTTGGAAGTACCAACAAAAACCACCGGGTAATGGTGATGAGACAAACACAGGGGTTAAAAGTTATATTATTGAGTAGTAGATTTGGATGCCATGGATTCAACAATAAAATTCAAGGAACAAATTAAATTCAATGATCATCATAGAAAACGACTGATAGTACACGCACCACTGAGACTTATCATAGAATAACTTGCCCACTTCTATTAATCTCTAAGATTTGAGAATATCGGTAGACTTTTGACTTGGCTACCATATACTATATTACGCTGAAGAAGAGGTAGAGACGAATAAACATCTACTATTCAGGTGTGTCATGTTATCAAACAGGAGATATAGGCTATTTGTTATGTGGAAGATAGAAACTCGAACGATCTTCTCAGACATATATCCCATCATCATCTACATGTTTGCTAACATCATTCTCTGTTTAGGCAGATTATCCTGCTAACTGTAACAACAACATTCTATTGGTACGTCTCCTTATCAATATTTTTCTTTTATTCTGTCCCCCATTAGTTAGAGAATCGCACTACTGAGGAATTATTTTGCATTTTATGAGAATTGTGATTACATGAAAGTTGAACTTTTGTGGAAGAGGTCCAGGCGGTGTGAGAATTACATCTTCATATCTGGAATACTTGTCCAAATAGACCTGGGGTCTAAAACTTTAATTTCCATGAGGCACACTTGGGTCGTTTGTTTTTCTATTTCATATTTAAACATAATAACATAAATTATAGATCTAATAGTTCTTAAAATATGTTTTTAAGGCACAGTTTTGGGTATACAATTATATTAAAAATTTAGAGTTTACTACTACAGATTCGTTTGTTTAAAACGAAACTTGAGGAAGAAAATTGATTTCCTGACACTTCCCTGATATTAGAATACAATTTGAATCACGGCATGCATACGTCTTTAGTGTTGTGAAAAGATTATTATGTCATCTCTAATTGTCGTTCATAATGAATATGACATTTTAGCCTTGATTATATCAATAGACGAAAGACCCTGTCTCAAACTAAATTGATCTGATAATTATGGCCACTTTTCAATCTACATATGAAGGATAAATATTAGATTCCCATACAGAAAGTCCCCTTTGTTATACTTCACTTAAAACATAACACTTTGATTATGGAAAAATACTCACTTAATGCGTGATTGTCGCATGAACTGTTGAATTTTTCTGGCAGCTTGATTTTGTGTTGATTGTGAGTAAGTACGTCTAAAGGGAAAAAAGAAGGAGAGAATGATAAAGAATAGTTCTTAATACATTTATTTTTAATCTACTTACTTCAATGGACCCGAAGGGCTAGTCTCCTTTGGGGTACTACACGACTGCGGTGAACTATCGGCATTCTGTTCCTGTTTGGCAAAATTATCAAAAAAGCTCGACAGGCATTGTGAATTCGTGCTATCCTGACTGTCGCTGTTGTGTAGAGCTGTCCCGCCGGATGCCATTAGCGTTGAGGTGTTTTGAGATTTCTTAAAACGTTTATTGCGACAATACGAACGATAACCATGCTGGATGACTAAAGCGGCATTGGTCATTTGACGATAATAGGCAAATTGTTTGTAGCGACGATAGTAGTTTTGTATGACAATGGCGGCGGTACGTTCTTTATTTTGTTCTTCCAACTTTTGGCGACCCTTGTACGAACGGTAGGCCTTTTGTATGCATTTGGCAGCCTCATAGAGTTCTCGTTGTTCGGTATCTATAAAACATAAATTTCTTATTAAAATATATTCTAAATTGGTAATTCGTAATGTGTTACCTGTTAATGTTAATTTACTAAAATCAGCCTCAAAAGGATACTGGGAATTACTGGAGGCATGAAGAAATTCTGTCAACTGTTTAGTTGACGGTGGCGGGCTGGGTGAACTAACCGATGGATCATGACCCAGTATGGAATAACTGGCCGGTGATTGCAGCGGTCCTGAACTAGCAGGACTTAGACTAGAGCAGGGTGTACTAACTTCATGATAACGATATGTGTGATCGTTGAAGTCGAAATTAAATTCATTATCGAAATGGGCATTGGGCAGTGAATCCAAAAGGGGATCCATAAAGCTGTCATTTAAACCCGATGATTCGGAATTTAAAGGTTCTGTCATGGGACTACCCAAAACCATCATTTCATCAGCCTCATTCTGAAATTAAGCAAATAAATTTAGTTTTTTGAGTATTCCCAAAAGACGGTGCTCTTACTTTAATACGTTCTGGCATAGCAGCTATGATATGTTCAGCGAGTGTTAACACTTTGGCATCTGAATCCCCTGCAATTATCATAAGAAAATAGCAAAAATGTGTAAAATTTCATAATAATTTGGCAATTTAAACAATTAATTAACATCAACATTAAGTTACAGATAGACAGACAGACACACGCACGTACATTGAAATATACAACATGAAAACTACATTAAATGTTAGACAACGATTTTAACATTATGATTAACAGTGTAATGAAGATGTATTTACAACAAAAAAACCAAGCTTTTTCACAATGAAATTAGTAACTTTGTGTATATAACAATATTTAAATGACATTTAACACAAATGAAAATATATTTAACAAATTGAGACAACAATAGTCTATCTTGGATTATGAGAAGATTACTGAGAACCTGAGACTATTAAGAATTTACTGTACATAGAAATTGAGAAGCCAACTTTTTGGTAAATTAAAGCCAGATTTTTATTAATTTTTTGGTTCAATTAAATTGTGGACCTAAAATTGGAAAATTTGTTAAAAACCCTATACTCTTAAAACGTAAACGAACTAGAAACTGAATATTAAAACTGTAAAATATTTAAATTGTATCTATACATGATTGTGATGAGATTCTAAATTGGTTGAAAGTTGATGTTTTTGTTTTTTTTTTTTTTTTCAATTCAAGTATTAGAAAGGTAATAATATTACAAATTGTTGTGTTAAATTTCAGAGTTCTATACAAAGATTTGCACCATTTCTTCTGGTAAATCCCCCAAAAGGGTACAAGATTTTGAAAAAAAAAAGAAACGCTTAAAGAAAACAAAATCATTCAACTCTCTTTAAATTCCAGACATCCAAATATTCAGGTTTTACAAACAGAATGGAATAATGAACCTCATTTAGAATATTTGCGATAAAAAAGGCCATAAATCTAATTGTCAACAGAATCGGTGAACTTGAAGGTTTGAAAACTATATATGTCCATAGTGGGGAGACCCTAAAGGATCTTATTTCGCAAATTACTTAAACCGTGGCGGTTTTGGGGGCGTTGAAACGCGTTGTATATATTCAAGTTTATTTGTAAACGTTGCTTTGAGAGAATCAAAACACAAAAATACTAATTTTCAAAATTTGGGCACATATTTATAATTTTTTGGAAATAGCATTATAAGGTCTCAAAATGTCAAGAACCTAGAACTTATTCGAGTACTAGAATTAGATCGAGTCTTCTTGGCATTTTCCATAACCCAGACTGGATATTATAATGTGAAATTATAAGAAAATTTGCAACAAATTGATGCTATTTTAAATGGAACAGATTGGGTACACATATTTCTTTTGTTCAGAGACCCCCAATGACGTTTGATCTAGAATTATTCTTACTTAAACACTTTCCACGAAAAATGAAGCATGCAGGAATGTTTTTACTCGGACAAGATACGTGTTAAATTAACAGAAAAAGCATATACATAATTTTTACTTTTAGTACATAAACTTTGAATGTAATTTTCAAAAAAACTATTGTACCTAAATATAGGGTTTATTATGAGATTTATAATGAAATTTTGGGTAGAATATTTCTTCATTTAACACTTTCAGTCTAAAATGAAATTTTATTTTACTTTAAGACGTTAACTCGAAAACAGTCCGAGAAAAATTTGATCAAAAAATTAGAGAATCGGGTTTTTAAGTTTTTTAGGGAATCTTGATGCAATTATTCTTTGATATACAATTAAAATAGAGATTTATTTCTTTGATAACTTATAGTTAAATTTGATGAAAAATATTTTTGTCTTTGACAGAAAGTACCAATTATGTGTTTTAAATTTAATATGGATTCCTAAGATGTAGACGATAGATGTATACCCCTAGCCTTGAATTATGATTATTCAAACTGTTGACCATTTATGGGTGAGGTTCCGAAGCGGTTGGCCAATTCGTATCTGACCTAAGTCTGATATAAATATTACAATGTGCCATATTTGGACTATATCGTCTACTTACTACACTTTATATGAGATATGTGCAATTTTTTGGAAAATGTGGAAATATGCGTGAAATAGCTGATATAGCGAATCGAAGTATTCTTCTAATACAGATAACAATGTTGGAATGTGCAAAATTTGAAAGAAATCGGACATTCATATCCAATTTTTGCGAAATCTTAAATACCGATAGATATCATATTCATATCAGATTTCTGGTTTGAAAACTATTTAGATATAGCAAGTTGTTAAGAATAGCCGTCTTGTTTCGCAAGTTATGACAGATATAAGCATTGGAAATTGTGACCTTTTTTGGGTGAGGTACCAGAAGGGGTTGGCAAATATATATAATCTTCACAACAGATTTTGCGTTAGCAAAAATATTTGGATGTGTGGAATTTGAAGAGAGTTGGATGCTTATTTTGTTTTCTTTAAGCGTTTGGCTTTTCAAAATCTTGTATCCTATTGGAGGATTTACCAGAAAAAATGGTTTGATCTCTACCATCTTTATAACAGATTTTGTGTTCATGGAAATATTGATATGTATCAAGCCTGAATAGAATCGGACGTTATCTTCGCGTTTTATGAACTTCATGGATAATCAAAATTTTGACCCTTTATGGGGGAGGTACTTGGAGAAGTGAACCGATCTTCACACCAGACCTTGGGTTAATAAAAATATTGTGATGTGTGTAATTTGGAGAGAACCAGATGCTTATTGCAGATTTTATGATCGTTTTGTTTATTCAAAATTTTGACCCTTTGTGGGTGAGGTACCAGAAGGAACGGTCCGATCTCATTTTATAAGAGTTATAAATATTCCAAATTTTGAATTTTTGTGGGTGAGGTACTTGACGGAGTGGCTGATATTGTCCATTTTCGAACCTGACGTAGGACCGATGCAAATATTAGGATTTGCAACGTTGGAGCAAAATCGGATTATCCTATCAAGTTTGGATTAAATCCAGCCAGACAGACGAACGGACGGACATTGCTTGATCAACTCCAAATGTCCTGAAACGAATTTGGTACAAAGAGGCCTAGGGTCTTAAACCGTTATTTCGATGAGGCACGATTTGGCCGTATCAAATGATATATATCCTCTGTAGCCATATGGCAAAGGACAAAAATTATCCCTTGGTTTCCCGGTAATTATTGATAAAATAGTGTATTAGAATTAGAAAGCAAATTTAACTCAACTTCGAGCGAATGTCTTCGTTTCATTTTCATTTTCGATTGCATTAGAAAAGACTGGACAATAATAAATTACAACGACACGATAACACACCATCTTGAGAATGTATTGTTCCCAAAGACTATAAAAGTTGCTATTTGTCTTATTTATCGCAGGTAATACTATAGCGTTTCTGAATTCTTTCTTTTGTCTAATCTTCTAAATCTTCCCTTAACTCTCCCCTAGAGCCCTCTCTTTTAGAGTACAACGGACCTGATGATATTTACTTCATTATTTCTATTACAGTCGGTGATGAGTGGTCTTTTCCACATCGTTTCACACACGCACTATAACCACTTTATACACAACGCCACATTTTAGTATGTATAGAATAATTACAGTTACATTAATTGTCCATATTGTACAAGTATGTATAAATTAGGTACACGCATAGCTATTGTTTATCAACACACACATACATAGACATATGACAACCAAATTACATCGAGTACATAAATATCAATTAATATTAATAATATTCAACTAATATAGACAGGAATAATGATGAGTTGGTAGTAAGGATTAGAGTATGGTTATTTGGTTAACAACAGTATTACACACAAATAATGTTGTTATATTAAATAGATGATATTATGGATATGATTAGTCAGTAATAGCACAGTTAGTATGTATATGTATTAGTTTGGACTTTATCCAAATCGTTTATGCAAAATGTTGTTAGTGCAAATGTTGTAATGTTACATTTTATGAGTTACATAAAACGAGAATTAAAATGCACGAAATACAGTGGAACATTTCAAAAGGTAATTTAGAGCGAATATCTAAGTAGTAGGTTTCATTAAATAATAATTTTTAAAATTCACAAGCAAATATAAACAGTTCCCACTTGTGAAACGTTCCACTGTAAACGCATTTATACCAATAATTTATAATAAAACAAATATGAAAGTAAACAAAATATCACACAACAAATTTGTTTCTTTTGATTTTTGGCAATTTATATTGGTTTTTTCTTTTTAATTTTGCATTTGTTTTTTTTTATTTTTTGAATAATAACAAACAGAATTAACTGACCTACAACGGCATCGATATTTTTATTGGGCATTGCAACAACATCGTTGCAACAATCTTCGTTATCAATTGTTGATGTATCATCATCATCGTTACTTTTGTCTGGCAAAGGACTTGCATCACCAGTTGATACTTCGCCTAATGGTTTTTAATTAATTCAAAATTAAAAATTTTAATCAAAAATAATCAAAAAATTTCGCAAATATTTTGATATGTCAGTTGGGGTTTCGTATAGAATTAAATTAAAAAGAGAAAATAAAAAAAACATAAATTTATTAATAAACAATTTTGTATAAATATAAACCAAAATAAATAAAAATAATAATTTTAATAAATTTTGAATAAAAATTTAATGCATCTGAATTGTCAATGTAATTTCTTTGTGAAAGTAGGAAAACCGTTCGAGAAAATGATTTTTGTTACGTTGTTTGTAGAGAGTTTGGCTTGTGTAGTTTTCTTTGTGCGATACTTACATAAGGCAAAATCCATTTTCCTTAGAGGTGAGAGTAAAGAATTCGTTGTATTTGCTGGTGTTGCAATTGAATCGAGTTGAGATTCCATTGTACCACTGCCACCACCATAATTGTCATGTGCATCCAAACTGAAATAAAAAAATAGATGTCAATTGAAGATTTATTCTTACCCAAAGGTTTAGAAGGATCTTACCTGTGTAAACGTGTCAAATCTTTAAAGCTCTTAACAGGTTTACTTCTGATGTCCATGCTAATGCCACTATCTATGGAAGATCGTTTCGAAAAGCGACTACTATTTGGGGGACTTTGATTGCTGTAATAAAAATTTAAAAAATGTAAGTTTTTAGGTTCTTAATTCATTTTTAAAACAAAAGAAATATATGTATCTACAAAAGAGGAAAATGTATGTTGGTTTGTAATTTATAGACACGAAAACCGTCCACAGATTTTCCTGACAATTTCCAAGTATACTACAACATCGCCTGAAAGTAACATAGGTTATATAAATTTTTGAAATTCCACTTGGATCTGGAGATATAGCTTCACAATCGGAGGTTTCTCCCAAAAATTTAGATTTTATATGTACATATCTATTGATCGAATGCAGATACAGTCTTAAAATTTTGAATGGGTCATGGAATTTGGAACAAGAATAAATTTGCAAAATCATATTGAAATCGGTTCAGATTTGGATATAGCTTCCATAAATATGTTATAGCTGGCCCAAAAAAGGCCTCTTAAAAATAAGTTTGAACAGGATTTGTTTCCCTGGCCTTTCAACCCGTAAATTCCACTATTACATACACAACTGCACATTCTTAGAAGCAAGAAGGAGATTACTAATTCGAAGATTGCCGGCAATATTCGTGCCAACACCCTATCGACCTTTAGATGAATGAGAATAGTTCATGGGCTCCATCTCAGAATAGACCAGGCGCTAATATCACCGTAATATTGAAGCCCTGGAACTACTGAGCAAAATTTTATGGGAAAGATTTTATGTTATGTGATTATTTCACTGGTTCCGTTGCTCGAGTTTTTTAGTTCTCTTCATGCACATTTACTGATGCTTTATTAAAAAAATTATGGCAAAATAACAATTTGATAAAGATATTATGGCAAAATCAGGTTTAAAATGTCAAAGGTTTGGGAAAATGCAATGCCAATGGTTGTGTTAAAATGCATATGCCAAATTTTTTAAAAAGGTCAAAATTTTATGTTCTGGTTCCTTCCATTCTAAAATCAATAATCTGAGGAAGAGGTTTCCCTGATGTCATTAAAGAGAGTGGAATGACAAAATGTAAATAAGCATTTTGGACAGACCCATGGCCTCAATGAAGGGACGTTGGCAAGCCCCTTTACAATCAAGCCGCTACAAATATCCATTCTTCATGAAAAAAAAAAAAAAAAAAAAAACGCCATGGTTACCCACGAAAGTGTCCCTAGGGAAATTAAAGTATTGAATATTAGGTTAATTTCAAAACATACCTGCTCACGGCTACTGGTCTTAGAAATACACCATCGTGGCTACGTTGTGATGGATCTGTTGTATCAAATACTGTAAATGAGGGATTATCATCGCTCTCATCGTTGCTTAGCTGAAAATAGGGAGAAAAAAACATAAAGTCAAATCCCTTGGAATATTCTTACCAATCCCAACATACCGAATATTTATTAAGATTGATGGATAAACTGCTGAGCGAACCCCTGCTTTGTTTTCGTTGGCATTCATGTTCCAAGCGATATAATTCTGATACGACTAGCTTGTGGCTAAAAAACAACAAGAAAAAAATATAAATGATAAGAAATACATTGCTCGTGACAATTCGGTTTAAATTTAAATTAAACTATAGACAGTCAAAGAAAAGGTTGTATTTAAAATCTGATCTTTCCAGAAAATGCAGACCATCTAATGGTCAACAACTCATTTAGTAGACCAACACTTTTCAAATGTTAGGATATTCAAATTTCTTACCCCTTAACAAGAGCCACATCCAGAGGTGTTTGCTGAGCATGATTTTTGATTTTCAAAGCATTTTGATTCCATTTGTATAGCAAGGTGACAGTCTCCAAATGGCCACGTGAGCAAGCCCAAGTCTAAAAGTAAAAAAACAAGTTTTAAACTCTCTTCTAAACTTTAAAATAATTCAAACTCACCAATGGCGTATAGCCATGAGCATCCTGACTAAAGGCATCGATTTCTGTTTCCAAAATGATATGAGGATTTTCCGTACGCCATGTTAGCAAAGCGCACACCAACTTATTGTAGCCCAAAGCAGCGGCTAAATGCAACATAGTCATACCCTTATAGCCGGCATTCCAGGTTACTCCATTAGCCGAGGCATTACTTTGCCATGTCATCTTAGTTAGCTGATGACAATAGCTAACCAATTTTTCCTCCAAATTTCCCTGTAGTGAGAATATTTGCTGTGAGGCTGGTAGAGCTTCAACGCTTTCCGGCTTAGTTTGCAGTGATTCCTCAATGGTGGTCAAACGATTGTACAATGAAAATTTGTACAGACAATCATTGGTGTTGTCATCAAACGGAGCCTCTTGGCAGACTGACATTTTATATTCGAACATGACGGAATCGGAAATAACATAACCATCCAAAGAGACCTGCATGGTGGCAAAGCCCACCTCATGGGCTGGGCAATAGCAACGTAAAACGCCTTCTTGTACCATTACCGTGGGAACAGGGTGGGAATCAAATAACACTGTGTACTGGCAATCCATGGTCCAGGGACCAGCTACCAAAACCTTTACACCACCCTCAGGATATGACCAATCAGGACTGAAGTCACAGATCTTCAAAAATTTCTTGTCACACGATAAATCCTGATGTCCAGCAGAGCCACTGCTTTCATAAATTGGGAGATTTGTTAGGTGTTGATGACATGAATCTGCCGTGGAATCATGTCCAGTCATATGATGACCCGTTACACCATTTGCAGCCTGTTCCAGGGCCGTATTAGACAAGGCCTGCTTATCATCCAAATCAAGTTCGGGAAATTCGACGAGCATATCAAATGCATCCAAGTGGGCAAAGACATCATCGGTGTCTTCATCATCAGCATCTGCACCAGCCGATAACTGATCTGGTTCACATTGTGGTCCATCAGTTACAGGTTCCACATTCTGACCACCACCATTGGGATTCATGAAATCCAAAGAATTAAGCAGCGTATTCTCATTGGGCATATTGGCTATAAGGGTACGCTGTATATCCTCGTGGGACAAATCCAGGGTCTCGTTGAAGAATCCCAAAGTGTCCTGCAATTCGGAGGAGGCAACGTGAGACTGCTGTTGTTGCGTTGCGATTTGACTTTGCTGTTCATCTTCTAGATTTTCAAATCCAATTGTGGATGAATTAACAATGCTATTGTTGTTGCTGCTGCTCGTATTAGTATTGTGTAAATTATCATTGTTGTTTGTGTTGCTGTTGTTGTTCGTTTTGTTGGAATTGGGATTGGGGTTTTGTTGTGACATGGAATTGTTACAATTGGAAGCGTCTGATGCTGCACAACCTGTTGGATTCTTATTAATAGTACAATTGTTGTAGTCATCTAATTGATTGTTCCTGTTGTTGTTGTTTTCAGTTAAATTGTTGCTGTTGTTCACATTATTTGTATTGTTGTTGTTGTTTATGTTTATATTATTATTATTTGTAATTTTGGAAGTATCTAGCTCGTTGTTCGAAGACATCTGTAAATAAAGTGAAAGATGTGATTAAAATTGATTGAAAATCATATCAAGGGTTAACAATTCCAGTAGACATATTATCGTCTATTAGCATTAATAGGATATGGAAATGTTAAGCATATCTACAGGAAATCTTAACATTTGTTAACATATCTATAGGAAACGTTATACACTGTTAACATTGTTTAGGAAATGTTAACTACTGTTAACATTTCTATAGAAATGTTAGACGTTTCCTGTGGAAGTGTCAACCACTGTTAATATTTTTATGGACCATGTTAAGTTCTGTTTACATTTTTATAGGAACTGTTAACTTCTATTAATATTTCTAGTGGAAATTTTTGCCTGTTAATATTTTTATGGACCATGTTAAGTTCTGTTTACATTTTTATAGGAACTGTTAACTTCTATTAATATTTCTAGTGGAATTTTTTACTTCTGATAAAATTTATATAGTAAATGTTTGCATCTGTTAACATTCCTATATGGAATGTAAACATTTTTAACGGTTACATCTGTTAACATATCTATAGGAAATACTAACCCCTGTTAGTATGGAACATGTTTACTTCTGCTTACATTTCCAAATTAATTGTTAACTTCCTTTAAAATTGATATAGGAATTTTTCAGCATCGTAAAAATTTCTATAGAAAATGTTAGCCTCTGTTAACTTTTTTTAAGAAGTTTTAACCTCTATTAATATTTCTATAGGAAATTTTGAACTGTGTAAACATTTCTGTAAGAATTATTAACCTATGTTAAAATTGCTATGGGAAATGTTAACCTCTGTTAACATTTCTGCGGCAAATCTTAGCCTTCCTTAACAATTCAATGGGAAATGTTAACCTCTGTTAAAATTCCTATAGGAAATGTTAACCTCTGTTAAAATTTCTATGGGAAATGTTTACCTCGTTATTATTTCTGCAGAAAATGTTAAACTCTAATAACATTTATATTGAAAATGTTAACGTCTGTTAACATTCCTGTAGTAAATGTTAACCCCTGTTAAAAATTCGATGTCAAATGTTAACCTCTGTTAAAATTTCATAGGAAATGTTAATGTCTGTTAATATTTTTATGGGAAACGTTAACATAACATAGGAAATATTTACATCTGTTAACATTTCTATTGGCTATGTTAACCTTTGTTAAAATTTCATAGGAAATCTCAACCTATGTTAACTTTTTATGGGAAACGTTAATATAATATAGTAAATGTTTACCTCTGTTAACGTCTCTATGACAACATTCCTAACATTTCTATGGTAAATGTTAACCTATGGTAAACATTTCTATAGGGAATGTTAACCTCTGTTAAAATTTCTATAGGAAATGTTAACCCTTGTTAACATTTGTATGGGAAATGTTAGCCTCCGTTATTACTTCTACAGAAAAAGTTAAACTCAAATAATATTTCTATTGCAAATGTTAACGTCTGTTAACATTGCTATGGTAAATGTTAACCTCTGTTAAAAATTTGATGACAAATGTTAACCTCTGTTAACATTTCAAAGGAAATGTAAATCTCTGTTAAAATTTTCATGGAAAACGTTAACTTAATATAGGAAATCTTTACCTCTGTTAACATTTATATAGAAAATGTTTACCTCTGTTTACATTTCTATTGGATATGTTAACCTCTGTTAAAATAGGAAATGTTTACCTCTGACATGTTGAGTTTTGTAATTCTTATTATTCTTTCCGGCTTGCAGATCTAATTTTTTGTAATTTTGCAATTTCTAACAAAATTCCTTTCTATTTAAAATGTAAATAAAAGTAGTCCCAGAATTCCCATCCCTTTCTCAAAATATATCCCTTCTTCAATTTTATGTTCTTAATTGAAAATTTCTTTATAGAATAATCGTAAAGTGTGGTCATTTTTTATTATTGCAATAATTTCTATTTCTCCATACCTGTGTATTTTCTGTTGTTGTTGTTGTGGTAGTGCTACCGATATTGTTATTATTGTTGTTGGACTTTTGATTTACATCCATAAAATTCTGTGACGATGCAGATGGCAAAGTTGAAGACGACGATGATGATGATGATGAGAGAGACGTTGAAGATTCCGAAATGGAATCAGATGAAGGCATCATTAAATGCGGTTGCTTATGATGTTGTTGTTGCTGCTGCTGAGTGTGATGATTGTTGTTGTGTGTGTTTTGTGATGGTGAAGATAAGACAGCGGTGGAGGCAACGGATGTGGAGGGTTGATGTTCTGGTGACATACACATGGGTTCAACAGTTGAGGAGGCTGATGATGATGATGAGGGGGTTAGCTGTTGTTCTTGCTGCTGCTGCTGTGGTGGATGTTGTTTATTGTTATTGCTTTGTTGCAATTTATAATATTGTTGTTGCTGCTGTTGTTCTTGTTTTTGTTGCTGCTGGGTGTTGACATGGCCTAGCATCGAATTATTATTGGAAGAATTTATTTGCTGTTGTTGTTGTTGTTGCTGCTGATTGTAATTAGTTGTATATTTGCTGCCATTGGGGCCATTATTATTTATGACATTTAAATCATTTGGCTTCTGATGCAAAACTGTAGTTGCTGCTGCTGTTGTTGTTGTTCCATTTGCATTGATATTTGTGTTGTGGTTGATTTTATTACTGGCATTAACCCCACCTCCCCCACTGACATTGGTGGGCGTTACATTCGCTGTATGACTTAGCATATTCACATCTAAACCAACCCCAGGACCGGCCGAAGAATGTGAATTTGATTGACTTGTAGGAGTGGACATCACTGACGTGGTTGATGCTGAGGAGATGGACGATGATGTAATTGCGGTTTGTTGATTAGCTGTGGCACTACTCGAATTATTGCCACTGTGTTCCATTGCAGTAACGGTTGTCTTGGCAATTTGGAAGCGATGCTGTTGTTGTTGCTGCTGCTGGTGCTGTATAAGTTGTGTAGCACTATTGTAGCGTTGTAAATTACTAGCACCACCAACAACGCTAACAACACCGTTATTATTACTGACTATCGCATTGTTGTTACTGTTGGCGCTGACTTGCATTTGATTGAAATTAGTTTGATTTGTTTGCATTTGCTGCTGCTGTTGTTGTTGCATTATTAAATTATTTCGATTATTCATCATTTGCTGTTGTTGTTGCTGCTGCTGATGGTTGCCAACATTTGTAGCACTGTAATGATGCTGTCGATACTGTTGTTGTTGCTGCTGTTGTTCATTGTGTGGCGGTATAATTTGGAATTTAATTGCCGATTCCTGTGGCAGCTGCTGAGTCGGCGCATGATGACCATGACCATGGTGTTGCTGTTGTTGTTGCTGTGGATAATGAGAGTTCTGCGTGTCCATTGCATTGCTAGCCTCGCGTATTGCCCTCTTATCCAACCAACGAGAATAGAGCTGTTGAGAGGGAGAAAGAAATTTTTATAGTTGCCCAGGAAACAAGAAAATCCTATTTCTTTCTAAAGAAAAAAGATTTGTCTCTAATAACCAAAGAAATCAATTATCAGTAATTGACGAACTTTATTCTATAAAAAAATTGGTTCTTAGTAATTGAACAATTTTTTCTACAGCAAAAAAAAATTGATCCTCAGTATCTGAGGAAACATCTTCAGTAGAGATATATCATTGATCTATATGTTACGAGAAATATATATTAAAAAAAACTCACCTTTGGCCCCACAACAACATTCGGTGTGGCCGGATTATTACCGCTGTGAGCAAAGTTTTCAACCGAATTGGAAGCCGGCAAACGTTTCTCATTCGAAGATTTAATTAAACTGGGCCTTCGCATCACTGGATGAGTGCAGGTTTTACCATCGGCACATGAGGCATCGCCACAGCCACAATCCAGCTGTTTGACCAAGGCAGCCTGACGTGATAGACGCTGTTTCTCCATTAACTGGCATACAATGGATTCAACGGTTTCGGCAGTCTGGAAAAAATCACATAAATTAAAATTAAAAAAAAAAAAAAAATGATAATAAAATAAACTTACCGATATCTCGATATCATTGCCAGAATCCGATTCATCATCTGAGGTTACTGTTGATACTGGAATGATTCGAAAAAAAGAGACAGCTTTGAAAACTAACTGCTTTCTGATAATGAAAATGTCAATTACTTTAATTTCTATAGAAAATATTGTCGATAAAAATAATTTCTATACAAAATATAGTCGATAAAAATATTTTCTATAGAAATTACTGTCGATAACAATATTTTCTATATAAATTATTGTCGATAACAATAATTTCTATAGAAATTGTTGTCGATAACAATAATTTCTATAGAAATTGTTGTCGATAACAATAATTTCTATAGAAATTGTTGTCGATAACAATAATTTCTATAGAAATTGTTGTCGATAACAATAATTTCTATAGAAATTGTTGTCGTCAACAATAATTTCTACAGTAATTGTTGTCGATAACAGTAATTTCTATAGAAATAGTTGCCGATAACTATAATTTCTATAGAAATTGTTGTCGATAACAATAATTTCTATAGAAATTGTTGTCGATAACAATAATTTCTATAGAAATTGTTGTCGTCAACAATAATTTCTACAGTAATTGTTGTCGATAACAGTAATTTCTATAGAAATAGTTGCCGATAACTATAATTTCTATAGAAGTTGTTGTCGATAACAAAAATTTCTATAGAAATTTTTTCGATAACATTAATTTATATAGAAATTGTTGTCGATAACAATAATTTATATAGAAATTGTTGTCGATAACAATAATTTCTATAGAAATTGTTGTCGATAACAATAATTTCTATAGAAATTGTTGTCGATAACAATAATTTCTATAGAAATTGTTGTCGATAACAATAATTTCTATAGAAATTGTTGTCGATAACAATAATTTCTATAGAAATTGTTGTCGATAACAATAATTTCTATAGAAATTGTTGTCGATAACTATAATTTCTATAGAAATTGTTGTCGATAACAATAATTTCTATAGAAATTATTGTCGATAACAATAATTTCTATAGAAATTGTTGTCGATAACAATAATTTCTATAGAAATTGTTGTCTATATCAATAATTTCTATAGAAATTGGTGTCGATAACAATAATTCCTATAGAAATTGGTGTCGATAACAATAATTTCTATAGAAATTGTAGTCGATAACAATAATTTCTATAGAAATTGTAGTCGATAACAATAATTTCTATAGAAATTGTAGTCGATAACAATAATTTCTATAGAAATTGTAGTCGATAACAGTAATTTCTATAGAAATTGTTGTCGATAACAATAATTTCTATAGAAATTGTTGTCGATAACAGTAATTTCTATAGAAATTGGTGTCGATAACAATAATTTCTATAGAAATTGGTGTCGATAACAATAATTTCTATAGAAATTGGTGTTGATAACAATAATTTCTATAGAAATTGGTGTCGATAACAATAATTTCTATAGAAAATATTGTCGATAACAATAATTTCTCTGGAAAATATTGGGGATTACAAAGACTCCTTAAATAATATCCACATCAATTATTCTTTTTCTAAATATTATTGATAACTTCTATAGAATATTTTGTCGATTACTATATCTTATTATAATGTTTTTTTCTTACTCTTAAAAAAATAGTACTTACACATTGGTTTCAACTGGCTAACCAGCTCCTCCTTTGTCCATTCTTTTTTATCGCCCCACAAACTGATGCTCGGCGCAATGACGGCCATTTTATTATCATCCGGATATGGGACATTTAAATAGTGTACCAAAACAATATCCGGATTCTGTAATAGCCAGTAACATCTGCGATGAAATGTGGGCAATATGGCAGAATGTACATAACAACCATAGATGCACTACAAAAGATATCAAAGAAAATGAAAGGAAACTTTTGATTAGTTGAATCAAAACAAGACCATAAAAATGTTGTATTTTTTTTTTTATAAAAGGGAAATATAAATTAATATGGAATTGGAAAAACATATATAATTTTATAAATAGTTTACGTGATGTTGGTCAAAATTTTTATTTTAGTTTTCCTTGAAATATAATAAAAAAATGGAAATTTAAGAATTGATAGAGCAGCAGGTTTATGGATCACTGATGATAACTTTAACGACGATCATTTTAGGATTAAAACCATGCTTCGTGATTCTTTGAATTTAAAAATTCACCATCCATTCTTTGGATTCAAGTTTGAAAAATGTATAATAATTTCTCCAAATAAAATGTTAAAGGTAAATTTTTGATATTTCTTTCTCAAAGCCATCCATAATAAATACTATAGATGGCAAAAGGTCATAGAGCAAACAAATTTATTTTAATTTTTCCCCAAAATTCATTTGTAAACAGATTTTGACTTATGACATATTGGTGAACTCCCCCAGTTCCTTGACAAACAAAAATAGACATCCATATTTTATTTGCCTTCTTTCAAAACAACCAAAGGACAAACAAAAAACACTAAAAATCTTTGTAATTTCAATAAATTTATTAAAATTGCAATTCTCTACGAAGAATAACAAACAGATTTTGCCAGTTTTTTTTATTCGTTCGTTCAGTTTTACTTATTTGGCAGATTTAGTTAAGGAGGAAATTCAAGATGCCAGAATAGAGACGCACAAACAAAAGGAACAGCCTCCAAATTGGGTGTATTTCGAAAATAAAATAAAAAAAAGCAGTCAGAGAGACATGGGAAGGGGGAGACGAAAAAACTATCAGTGGCAAGTGCCAACCCTTTTTTGCCATAAGAATTCCAAGATGAATAGCAAGAAAAAAAGTAGAAGCCAGCTGAAATGATAAATTTTTATTTTCTGATATACCGCTGTTTTGTAATCTAATTCATAGACATTATTGTGGAAGCTCCAAGCAAAAGAAAAAAGTAAATATGGACAAAAAAAAGCAACCGACTTTTTTTATAGTTGGGAAGGAAGGGGAAAAATAATGGATGAAGTGGGACTTTAGCGCACTTTTTACAAAAAATAATAAAAAAAACGTTCAAATTAAAACAAATATTTTCGATAGCAGAAATATAAATTATTATCGATTTCAATATGTTCCATAGAAAATAATGTCAATAACAATAATTTTTGTTGAACAAATTTCTGATAACAATAATAATAATAAAAATATTATCGATAGCAATAATTTGTATAGAAAATAATGTCGATAACAATATTTTCTAAAGAAAATACTGTGGACAACAATAATTTCTATAGAAAATATTTTCGATAACAATAATTTCTGTAGAAAATTTTTTCGATAACAATAATTTCTGTAGAAAATATTGTCGATAACAATAATTTCTGTAGAAAATATTGTCGATAACAATAATTTCTATAGAAAATATTGTCGATAACAATAATTTCTAAAGAAAATATTGTCGATAACAATAATTTATATAAAAAAATATTGTCGATAACAATAATTTATATAGAAAAAGTTGTCGATAACAATAACTTCTACACAAAATGTCACCGATAATTTCTGTAGAAAATATTGTCGATAACAATAATTTCTAAAGAAAATATTGTCGATAACAATAACTTCTACACAAAATGTCACCGATAACAATAATTTCTGTAAAAATATAGTCGATAACAAATTTTTCTGTAGAAAATATTTTCGATAACAACTATTAAAAAAAACAAATTGTCGATTCTTGTAAAGTGGAGTCGATAACAAATATGCTGTCATGGTACAATGAAGAGAAGGTAGGTCAACTTTGAAAAAATTGCAAGTATAGATGTCTACCTGTTTGGCTTGTAATGTCAGAAATAGTATCAAAACAATAACAAAATCAAACAACTTGTTGCATTTATTTTGAATAAATAATTGAAAACCGCGAAAACTTAATGAAAGATCCACACTTCTTTTCAAAACCAGGTTCTATATATCTCTAAAGGATTATTTCGCTACAAAAACTCTAGATTTTGTTGATGCATACAATGAAATAAACATTTTGAAAACATCCGAATTTGAATGCTTTTTTTTAATTTTTTTTTGTTATTGAAAAGAAAACACACACATAAACAAAAAAAGATGACATATTAAGCCAAGAAAATAAAAAAATTGAAATCATATGGCATCATAGCCCTACCTTGATATCATTGTACCATGTATGCTGTATTTTTTCTGTCCCACTGTCCCAAAAAATTCACAAAAAATGAAAAATGAATGAATAAACGTTTGTGTTCATAAACATATTAGTTGTAGTCAGTTATCGCGTTAAAAATATTCCAGACATTAGACAGACGCGTTTGTTGTTTTAGCATTTCCGTCTTCATATAAAACATAAATCTTCCCAGAGTACATTGATGTCTTTCCAACTCTCAAGGAATCTGCCAAGCGAAAAAAACAAATACTTGACACCGACCAAGGAAAACAAACAAAAAAAAAAGTATTTACATCCACTTTTAAAGACATTTATATTGGGAGAGCAACAAAAAAAGGACATAAACGTAAATAGGTTGGCAAATATAACTTTCATAAAAATTAAAACCTTCTAACAACAAAACAACGACAGGAAAAACAAACAAAAAATTGGCGTGAAATTACTCTGATTTTAATTTTGAAACTAAAAACACTTCCCTTTAGCCAAACGATGATGGAAAGTGAAGGAGACACCAAACAATAAAAGATATGTGTTAAGGAGAGTTGTTGTTATAGATTTAAGTCCTTTTTTCCAAAAACCGACCAATTTTGTACTACTAGAGCATTAGTTACAATGGGAACGAACGGACAATACTTATATATAAAATTTAGTTATCGGTAGCATTTTTTTTTAGAAAAATGATAATCGAATATTTTTTTTTAGAAATTAATGTTATCGACAATATTTTCTATAGAAATTATTGTATCGACAATATTTTCTATAGAAATTATTGTTATCGACAATATTTTCTATAGAAATTATTGTTATCGACAATATTTTCTATAGAAATTATTGTTATCGACAATATTTTCTATAGAAATTATTGCTATCGACAATATTTTCTATAGAAATTATTGCTATCGACAATATTTTCTATAGAAATTATTGTTATCGAAAATATTTTCTATAGAAATTATTGTTATCGAAAATATTTTCTATAGAAATTATTGTTATCGTCAATATTTTCTATAGAAATTATTGTTATCGACAATATTTTCTATAGAAATTATTGTTATCGACACCAATTTCTATAGAAATTATTGTTATCGACACCAATTTCTATAGAAATTATTGTTATCGACACCAATTTCTATAGAAATTATTGTTATCGACACCAATTTCTATAGAAATTATTGTTATCGACAATATTTTCTATAGAAATTATTGTTATCGACAATATTTTCTATAGAAATTATTGTTATCGACAATATTTTCTATAGAAATTATTGTTATCGACAATATTTTCTATAATAGATAACTATTGTTATCGACATTTTTTTTAAGAAGCTAGTGTTATCGAAAATATTTTCTATGAAAATTATCGTTATCGACAATATTTTCTATAGAAACTATTTTTCTATATTGTTATCGACAATATTTTTTAACTATTGTATTTAACTATTGTTATTGGCAATATTTTTGTGGAAGTTTTTGTTATCGACAATATTTTCAATAGAAATTATTGTAAATGACATTAGCTTTTATGGGAATCGATGTTATATTTAATGAAAATTACAGTTATTAAATATATGTTCATTGGTATTTATTTTGTTATTTTGGTCGAAAAAATACTCCAAAAAAGAAACAATCCAGAAAAAACCCTAGAGTATCATGATGGCATTGACGAACAAAAAGTGAACAAAAATCTGTTTTTATGTCCACTAAAATTTTTGGACGGGAGTAGAAACGAGTAATTTTCTATGTTTCCGTTAGGAAATCATAATTCATGGCATTTTCCGCCAAAAAAAAAAAATTGCAAAAAAGAACAACCAACTAAATCCATAGCTCCCAAAAATATTCTTAAGAAAAAAAACAACATACAAATCCAACAAAAACACTCAAGATAAACATGTACGACCAGTAGTGTTTATTTAGTTGTACAAGCGGCACAAAACAAAAGGGTCAACAAAGAACAAAAAAACAGAGGCAAAAATAGCAAACAATCCCCGAATGCCAAAGTAGCTCTTATCCCAATCCTTACGCTTCCCCTCCCATCTAATTCACAACTCTCCGTTTATCGTTCTTCTGTCTAATTGTCTAAAATTCTTCATTAAGTCGTAAATTAATTCCAAAGAAAATCCTTATAAACGACGCTAATTTGTCGGCCCTTAAAAACACTTTGGATTCTTGGGAGTTTCGTGTGAGAGGAAGGAAGCCAAGGGAATATGTATTCCATGTGGTGACTGGATTTGCTTTTTGGCCATTTTATCGTCTTCATATGTATGAAAGAAAAACATTTACACTTATGGGATTTGTAGTACCGATTTGGGAATATTGCACTTGAAAAGCTTAATTGCTGGACACAAAGGGAAACAACGGAATTTCATCGAGTAATTTTGATTTGAATTCAAGAGAATGTGAGAAAAATTTAAACGATTCAAATATTTAAGGTAAGAGAATAATTTGATTTAAAGAAATATTGTATTAAACATGACAACAAAAAATTAACTGTTATGCTTTTGTTAGGATTTAAAGTTTTGATTTATTCTGGGACCTAGGTAGAATTTCATGAAAAATAATTTTGTAATTTTTTGACTTGCTGCAATCTCGTTTAAATCAAGGTTTCAACCAAAAAAAAAAACAATTTAAACGTTACAAGTTATCCTCCACCATTTGAAAAAAATTTGGAAATTTTCAAAAAAAAAAAAAAATAATAGTAATAAAATAAATAAATAAAACTTAGAATCCGTTAAAATTTTTTATTAAAATCATAAAAATACCGAATTTACTCTCCATACGGACACGTAGACTCGAATAGGCAATTTCTGTCACAGGCTGCAGTACACATATCAAGGTGCAAATACGAAATTTAAAACAATGTCGGAGAATAATGTCACTAAAATCATCAAAATGTCGAATATAGGGTGGTACAGGTGCTATACGAAGACCTGGACCTTAATAGACAATTTTTGTCATAGGCTGTAGTACCCATTACGAATTTCAAATAGGAATTTTTAAACAGTTCCGGTGAATAATGTCACTAAAATCAACAAAATACCGAATATAGAGAAGTACCGTTATATGGGGGCCATACGAAGACAGGGGCCTGCATATGCAATTTTCTGTCATAGGCTGTAGTGCCCATTACGAACTTCAAATACGAAATTAGAACCGAGTCCGATGAACAATGTAGCTAAAATCATCAAAATACCGAATATAGGGTGGAACAGTTATATGGGGAATATAACTAAACGTGGACTTATATATACATTATATTTTATGAATTATTTTTTTTAAAGCTGGCTGTAGAGAAGCTGTATAGAGCGGCAGTAATGCTATTAAAGATGCCACATTGAGACCCGGCCTAAATAAAGAGGACATTTACATTTTATATGCCTTTTATTTCAAAATTACTTCAGATGGATATAACGAAAGAATCGAAGGCGTGATAGGTATGATTCTTTAATATTCGTATAATAATGACATGAAAAGTAAAGTGTCCACAACTAGTACTTACACTAGCTCAAGATTAGATTAGTTTTGAAAGATAATTAGCTTTACCCTTCTGCTGGACGAATATGGTTGTGTATACGCTTCATCAACGCTGCAAAATATTGCGACATTACTTTGAAATGTTGGAGAATTTGTGCGAAAATTGAGTACGAATTTTGGAATAGGGGAATCACCGTTAGCTCCGTATGTGAACAAGCTAAACTGTCGTATTTGGGACACGGAAAACCCGCGAATCACTGTTTTGTGCGGATTTTCCCCAGATGAAAATGAGCAAGGAGTGACCGTCACGCTTACGAGCTATGTTGATCGAATTTTTGTTCACAAAAATTGAAGAGGGCGTGCCACACAGCCGAAGCAAAACTCAATTTTCAGTTATTTAACTGATTCTATATATAGGGACAATTATGTGCAAGATTATGTCCGTTTCCGTTCTGTAGGAAATAGTGGGCACGATTTTTAAAATATCTAAAATGAGAGAGATAACTTTACGTAGCAGCTATATGAAAACGGAGATCGCTGTGTCCCAAGTAAGTCGGAAAGCTAAAATAGTTAGCTTTTTGTTACTTAAGGTAATGGAACGAACTTTCGAATAAAACCCGACACTGATTCTAAAAATCGACTCGATATTCTCCCTATTAGTAAATTGAAATTCTAAATTTCGACCAAATCCGTAAAATCAAAAGAAATCAATTATCATCAAAATACTTTAGAGTGAGTGTTAGCGTTGCTAGAGGTGCTACACTTTGGAGACACGGAATCAATTTTCAATACAAAGTATCATAAAAATAAATTAGATTCGTTGAAGACCATAAACAACTTTGTCCCAGAATGTCAATCCCCTCCGCGTAATAAAATTGAAATGCACTGAATTGAAATGTACTGCACAGTACATCTTGATGAATCACACACACGTGATCTCGCTTTCCAATCTCAATATAATTGAATAAGAAATAAAGAGTATTTTCCCAGTAAATATTTTTTAAACGTACCTCTGTGCCTTGTACTTTAAGTTTCATGTGATCTTCACGTGTGGTTTTGCCATCTTTGCGTTTCTTCCAACAGTAGCCGTCACGTCGATAACGCACCTTTTTACGGGAGTATAACAATAGAGAGCCACTTTTCGGTCTGAAAGAAGTAACAGACAATAATAAACATTGAGTAAAAAATTCATTTTCGGCATGGTTTACATTGATAACAAAAATAGGTTAAATATACAGTCAAACACAGCTATAACGAACATTATATAAATGAAATATTATACTGGTTAAATACACATATAAAAAAATATAGAATAGTATTGGCATCATTGTTCGGGTTGCAAAATAGTTAGGCTTTATTCCATACTTCTTGTTTTTATAAAAACAACGCTTGTTTATTATTGGAGAGAGATGGTAATGTTTACCATGGAATAAGGTAAGGTGGTTTTTAAAAGAGCCACCTATTTTTTTCTGGGGCATTTCTTCCGAGAATTATTTAAAAACAAGTTAAAAAAAATCAGTCGGTTTTTCCGACAGATGTATAACCTCACCCAATGTCCGACTATTTAAATATATTTTGACTTCTGTTATGATTATTCAAACTCTTGACCCTCTGTGGAGTAGGTTCCGAAGGAACAGGCCAATATTGTCGATTTCGTGTCGAACCTAAATAAATATGATGCAAATATCGCACGTCGCAATATTTATATGATATTTCGGGGTTTGTACTATATCGAGTACTTCATTCATTTTATATTAAATAAAAATATTGAAAAGACCCTTTGTGGGTGAGGTACCAGAAGGGGTTCGCAGATATATATCATCTTCACAACAGATCTTGTATTAGGAAAAATGTGCGAAATTTGAAGAGAGTTGGAAACTTATTTTGCTTTCTTTGAGCGTTTGGTTTTCAAAATCTTGAACCCTATGTGGGCAAGCTACCACAAAAAATGTTCCGATTTCTACCATCTTCATAACAAATATTGTGTTGATAGAAATATTGAGATGTACCAAGTCTGAATGGAATCGGATGTTATTTTCGCGGTTTATAATCTTCATGGATACTTAACATTTTGACCCTTTGTGGAGGATATACCAGAAGGAAATAGCCGATCTTCACCATATTTATAACAGATCTTGTGTTGATAGAAGTATTGAAATTAGTCAAGTCAGAATAGAATAACATGTTAATTTTGCGTTTAATGAGCATCGCGGATATTCAAAATTTTGACCCTTTGTGGGGGGAGGTACCTAAAGGAGTGGACCGATATATTCCATCTTCATACAAGACCTTGGGTTAATAAAAATATTGTGATGCGGGTAATTTGAAGGTACTTGGTGGAGTGGACCGATATTGTCCATTTTCCCTGACCTGACCTAGGACTGATGCAAATATTTGGATTTGCAAAGTTGAAGCCAAATCGGATTATACTTTCATTTTCTGTGCAGTATTTTTTTTTAATTTTCGACCTTTTGTGGGTTGTACCAGAAGGAGCAGACCGATATTCCCCATCTCCGTACTCAAACTAAGTTTGATAATAATATTCCGATGTACCAAGTTTGGACCAAATCGAGAGTCATCATGCGCGCCAGCCAGCCAGACAGATGTACGGACGGATATCGCTAGATCGACTCCAAATATCCGGAAACTGATTGGGTCCAAAGAGACCTAGGGTCTAAAACCGTTATTTCGATGAGACACGTTTTGGTTGTATCAAATGATATATACCCTCTCTAGCCATATGGCTTCTATGACAAAAAAACTTTTTTACCCAAGCGACGAAATCGTAAGATTAATGGAAGAGGATCCAAAGTATTGAACTAAACTAAAATTCTTTTGGCATTTCTTCTAAATTTAACAACATTATCATCTTGCCCCTAAAAAACCAACGTTGTTTTTATAAAATCAACAATTGTGGGATTGAACTTAACTATTTTGCAACAATAAAAATATATAATTAGAAAATAATAAAAATAATAATAATAATAATAATAATAATAATAATAATAATAATAATAATAATTTTTTTTTTTTTTTTTTTTTGAAATAAATCTGCTTCATTTATTGTTTCATTTTTCAAATTACAAAAAGTTATTCATAGTACATTTATTATTCTTATGTAGTGTATCCCACGAAGCTTTTTTAAGCTTGTCTGTGGGATATATGGTTCAATAAGATTATTTTATGATATAAATTTATCTTTAAAAAAATATATATATGCTGTAGGCTTCCTTTATTTCATTTTTAATATTTTGTGTATTTAATATTTTATATACTTTTCATTTTCATACATGACTATTTATAAAATAATTCTTTATTTTTTTCATTTTTGATGTTTTGTTTCTAATCTCTAACAATTCCTTGGGTATATCATTCAGAATCATTGGAACAGCAACTGTCAGTGAAAGTTTACCGTATTCATTTGCGAATTTTGGCACTTCGTACCAACCTTCGCTTCTTCTCCTAGTATTATACTGATGTCTAATTTTTCTGGCTAAAATTGGATCTTCCGAAAATTCACTTGCAATTGTTATTGCAAAAATCTGCCTGATGTTTAGTACATTATGTTGTTTATATATTAGTTTCATATTATCATTCTGCATTTCGTGCGTATTTTGCGATTGCTTATGCAATAATTTTAAAATTCGGTCTTGCGTAAATTGTAGTTTTTTACAACATCTCGCGTTCCCCCATGCGGATATGCCATGCCGCAACTGCGACTCTACCAATGAAAAGTATGCTTGTCTTAGAGCTTTATAGGGAGCGCAATTGCTGAGGTGATAAAGAGCGAATGACGACTTACGTAACTTTTTCTGTACATTTTCAATATGTGTTTTCCACTTGAAGTTGTGGTCAAGGTGTACACCTAAGTATTTGTATTCTTCCACTAGCTCTATATGAGTATCACATTGATCATTTAATGACTGATTTATTTCTCTGTTTTTGGTGTGAATGCAATCATTGCTATGGTAAATAATGCGTATGTTACTTTTGGGTACATGTCTTGACCTGAAGTGCATTATTTTAGTTTTTGATGGATTAATTATTAATCCCATATCGTGGCACCATTTTGTGAGCAGATTGAAGTCTTCCTGCATGAGATTTATTGCATTGTCTATATTTTTATGCGAGATAATGATAGCAGTATCATCTGCATATGTAAAGGATGTGCTGCTTTTGAGGTTTTGCGTCATCTCGTTTGTATATATTAAGTAGAGTATTGGACCTAATTTTGATCCTTGAGGTACTCCATATAATAACTGCTTCTTGCTACTGCTGATTCCGTTTATTTTAACGCTGAAGGCTCTGTGATTGAGATAATTCTTGAACCATTGTATGCAATGACCTCTGATTCCACTTTGTTCTAATACGCTTATTACTTTGTCATGTGCCAATGTATCGAATGCTTTGCTGAAGTCGATAAAGATGGCTACACTGTTGTTATGCATGTTGAGGTTTTGGTTTATGTGGTTCGCAAAATATCCAAGAAGTTGGTTGATATTTTTATTTTTTTGAAAACCGTATTGATTTTTGTTTATAATTTTATATTTGGAAAGAAAACTAGTTAGCCTTCTCACAACAATTTCTTCAAGCACTTTCTCTAATACGGGCAATATAGAAATTGGCCTGTAATTTGCGTAATCCGACTTATTACCGCTCTTATATATTGGCCGTATTGTAGATTCTTTTAATATTTGTGGTATTGATGCTTCCCTTAGGCTTGAGTTTATTAAATGTGTTACAATTGGTGTAAGAACATCGGCATTGCTTTTAAGGTCAATTGCCCTTATATTGTCCATTCCGGCACCTTTTCTGGCATTTAAATTTTTAATTATATTATTTATTTCACTTTCCGTAGTGTAGTCGAGAAACATAGAATTTGAGATGAATCTTTGAGTCCTGGTTTCTAAAGTTGTTACATTACACGGATGCACTATGTTTATGACATTTTGGTTGAAATTTATAGCGAAATTCTCCGCAATTTCGTACATATTCCTGTCTTTAAAACTTAGTTTAATATGTTAATCTAAGTTTTTAGTCTTTTTTCCAATCACCTCGTTTATAATTTTCCATGTGCCCCTTATGTTGTTTTTGTTATTCAGAAATTGTAGGAATATATGCCTATTTTTTGCTTTTAAAATTTCTTTGTTTAATTTATTGTTAAAATTTTTATAGATAATTTCGTTTGTTTTGTTGTTCTTATTTTGTGACCATTTTTTATAAAGTTTGTCTCTTATGTAGCATGATTGTAATATACTATCGGTTAGCCATGGATGTGGTTTACGCCTTTTGAGTTTAGGTTTTTCACATTTTGAATTTTCGTAAATTTGGTTAAATGTATTATATATGCTATTAAAAAGCTCATTTGTGTTTTTAGATTTGTTAATTAGTTCCTGCCAGTTTACTTTTCTAATTTGAGTATTTACTCTATTATTATTAATTTTGTAATCTGTGACACTCTGTGTGATTTTGTGTGTTTCATGTTCTGTTTCTTCTATGCTTTCGAAAATTGCATGATGATCGGATATGACTGTAGTAACAACCGCTGCGTGTGCAGTTTTCAATTTTTTGTCCCATCTGATAAATAGATGATCAATGCATGATTTTGACCCACCTCCTTCTCTTGTTGCTGTATTCACCATACATTTTAATCCATTCGAGGAAAGAATACTCAAATATTTTGTTGTATTCGTGTTGATCTTCTGGATGTCTATGTTTATGTCGCCAAGTAGTATAACTTTGTTTTTCCTGCTTACCTGATAGACGATTTGCTCAATTTCATTTAAAAAAAGGGTGATACTTTTATTAGGTGGTCGATAAATTGGGAGAATAGTCAAGGTTTTGTGCGTTGAATATTGAATCTCAACTTGCAAAATTTCGGCTGATGTTATATTTACATTTATAGTTTCATATTGTATACTATCTCTAATGTATATTGCAATTCCACCTCCTTTGCCTTCTCTATTTAGAAATGTGGTATTAAATCCATCAATTGTGTAAAATGAGTTTTCTTCATTAACAATGTTGGTTTCACATAGAATTATAATATGAACTCTGGTTATAATATTATTCATGTTTGCTAGAAAGGTAAGGAAGTTTTTCCTCAATGATCGTATATTCAAACATACCAGGGATAGAGAGAAATTCAGATAAATAGGTTTTATTTCATTGAAATTAGTTAATATTTCTTCCGTGTAGTTCATTTTCTTTTACTTATAATTTTCGTTAAAAAAATCGATTTTTTAAGTCCACACTATTTTTGTAAAACAGTGTATTTTTTATTTATTTATTTATTTATTTTTTTTGTGAAATTTCTTTAATAATTTTATATTTTGCTCAAAATGCTATAATAGGAGTGTTGTTTTGGTTTAATGACGTTCTTTTATATAAGATTTTTTTGTACAAATAGATTACTTTGCTTCGGTTAAATTCAATTCATTTTGTTGAGTAATGTTTTCCAAGTCGGCTGCGGTACGTATAATAGTGAAAGACGAATTTTCATTCTTTCGGGCGTATATGTAACCATTTTTCACCCATACGAATTTCCATCCACATTCTTTTGCTTTAGTTTTCGCCATCCATAACAATCTTTTGCAATGCAGTGTAAGTTCATCGTTTATGTATAAGAAAGTATTAGCTCCACTAGATTCTCTTATTTCGACACGATGTCTCTTTATTTTATTCATTATCTCTCTTTTTTTCCTTAGTGTAGCGAATTCAACAATAATCTTATTCTTCTTCTTCAATTTAAATGATCTGTCTATGTCATCTTCTTTAATTTCTACTCCTATGGCTTCGCTCATTGTTTTTAATACTTCGCTCACCACAGCATTCTCATCCGTTACGTTCCCTATTTCAATGTTCCTGGCTATTGCTTTTTGTTCCAGCATTTCAACTCTTGTTCGCATATCTTTTATCTGTTCTCCTTTCTCTTGGTCTCTTATTTGGAGCTCATTAATTTGTGTGGTGATTGTTGCTACATTTTTACTAATATTCCCGATGTGCTCTTTTATTTCGGCATTTGCATTTGTGATTTTTGTAATGTTTGCGACTAGTTCTTTCATGCAGTTCTGGATGCTGTTCATTCCTTCTTTTAGTTCAGCAATGTCTCTCTGTTGAGTTGATGTTTCTTGGTTGGCTGGTGATGTTGTTGGTGTTGACATATTTCGGAACCTCTTGCTTGCTTTGACTATGTTGTCATCATCTCTTTGTTGTTTTGTTTGAGCTTGTTGCTCTTTTTCTTTTTCACCTTCGGTTTCTTGTCCAAAAACATATGTTTTGTAAATATTGTTGGGAGATTTTGAGAGGGGTTTGCACATGTGGCATTTCCACTCCGTTTTTCTTGCATGTCCCATGCCATTGTACGTGCTCTCTGCTAGAGAGCAACATGGACTAAAATGGAATTGTCTATTGCAATTATAACAACGCACGTATTGTATCGATTTTATTTGCATTAAACATTGTCCACAATTATTACTATTTGGCACTTCTAATTGCGACATTTTTCGGTTTATTTACGAGATATTCAGTAAAGTTCTAGATATCTTTTAATGCCGCGATTTTTATTAATTTTGCGATAATTCTCGATGCGCTAAATGAAAGTACGTGCTTTCTGTTGAAGGCTACAGCGAAGACTAATAATAATAATAATAATAATAATAATAATAATAATAATAATAATAGTAATAATAATAATAATATTAATAATAATAATAATAATAATAATAATAATAATAATAATAATAATAATAATAATAATAATAATAATAATAATAATAATAATAATAATAATAATAATAATAATAATAATAATAATAATAATAATAAGAATAATAATAATAATAATAATAATAATAATAATAATATAATAATAATAATAATAATAATAATAATAATAATAATAATAATAATAATAATAATAATAATAATAATAATAATAATAATAATAATAATAATAATAATAATAATAATAATCATAATAATAATAATAATAATAATAATAATATATAATAATAATAATAATAATAATAATAATAATAATAATAATAATAATAATAATAATAATAATAATAATAATAATAATAATAATAATAATAATAATAATAATAATAATAATAATACTAATAATAATAATAATAATAATAATAATAATAATAATAATAATAATAATAATAATAATAATAATAATAATAATAATAATAATAATAATAATAATAATAATAATAATAATAATAATAATAATAATAATAATAATATAATAATAATAATAATAATAATAATAATAATAATAATAATAATAATAATAATAATAATAATAATAATAATAATAATAATAATAATAATAATAATAATAATAATAATAATAATAATAATATAATAATAATAATAATAATAATAGTAATAGTAATAATAATACTAATAATAACAAAATACAGAAATGTCAGAAGTGGTCTATAAATTCAGAGAATAATTTGTATTCTTTATGCCCTTGTATGCCCTGTCGGTTTTAAATGTTAATTTTATTATTTTGTAATTTTTATAAATTAATTTTTAATTAATTTTATTTCCAGTGCCCCTTATAGTCGTTTTTATTTTCGAGCAATAACATTCAGTTTGGTTTTTAAAAAATACGTTTTTAAACTCTCAATCAATTAGTGACTATAAAAGTTTCACATTCTGTTATTATTTTCGAACTTTTTATTTCAAACCGAAATTTTTACTTCTAAGAAAATATTTTTTAAGCTGGTTAAAAAAAAATCTTGTCCCTTATAATCGCATTTTTCACTTTATTACAATTCTCCGTGAAATACCTAGTTTTTAGTATTCTTTTCCGTTTTTTTTATTACCTCTTTTTGATAAAAGGAAATAATTAACTTATGACTCACCTTGTTTTGACTTCTTTCGATTGCCATTCATTGTGTTTATCAAAGCTGATAAGAATCGCAGCGATTTCCTGAAATAATAAACAAAGCAAAAAAAAAAGAAACGTATTTAGTTAGAATCTAAAACGAAGCGCTCATCTCTCTCATGTAATCTCAAGTAGTAATAATTGTGTCTTGGCATACAAACATTTAGATAATTTATGGCATTTATATATTAAAAAAACACACACACATACATCTGTATGTAGATATAAATAAAAGAAAAAGAGTTGTTTATCTTAGACACATAGAACAAAATACTGCTGAAGATATTATAACGTGTGTAAGTAATTTAGACAAAATTCTAAGAAATTTGTTTTTATAAAAAAAAACTCAAAAGTATACTCATATGGTGGGGGTTTTGATCATTTCCATTTGATATATGTCCCCAAATATTGTTGTTACAGAGTGCATATTACGGCAGCGGACGGCAAAAATAACAAATCGGATGAACAACATATATCGGAGCTATAGTTATATCTGAGCCGATTTTGATAAAATTTAGTATACTTATTTTCAGGCCTAATTTAGTCGTATGCGAAATTCCATACTATTTGGGTTGATATCTCACGTTTGGTGCACAATAAAAGGCAAATCGGACAAAGATATATATCTAAATTTTGACCGATTATCCAATTCAATTACCAATTTCAAAAGGGTTCGTCCTTGGGCAAAATAAACGACTTGTGCAAAATGTCATCTGAACCGGGCTATAAATGCGACCTGTACTTTGTTTACAAGAATACATGGACAGACGGACAGACATGCATAATTCGGCTCAGAATGTGATTCTATGGTGATTATGAAAAGGGTCTTTCTCGTTTCCTTTTGCCTATTACAAACAAATGCACAGAGACATAATACCCTGACCACCTTGTGGTGTAGGGTATAATGAGGCTAGGGCTTACATGGAACTTATTGGAAAAATGAAACACCAAATATAAGTGCAAAGAAGTCCAGGGGAGTATTTTTAAAATTGGTGTTCTAGTAGGGAAGCTATACCAACATGTCGTACGACATAACCTACTTTGAATACCAAGAGTTCTAGGAGTAAGTAAAATGTCCTTGTGAAATGTGGCAAAGTAAGCGATATAATGCGAAGTTTCGATATCGGACAATTCCTTCTGGTACCTCTCCCTCAAAGGTCAACATTTTTATACCCTCCACCTTGGAAAGGAGGGTATATTAACTTTGTCATTCCGTTTGTAACATCCTTAAATATTCGTCGTAGACCCCATAAAGTATATATTCATAATCTGCATAAAATTCTAAGTCGATTTAATGATGTCCGTCTGTCTGTCTGTCCGTCTGTCCGTCTGTCTCTTGAAATCACGATACAGCCCACATTATTTGACGTAGAGCGCCTAAAATTTAGAGCAATTTGTGTTGTGTCTAGGATGGTTGGTATTGAAAATGAGATATATCGATCCACGTTCTGGTCCCCATATAACGGTGCCTCCCAATATTCGGTATTTTGATGGTTTTTGCCACATTTTTTCACTGATTTGTCTAAAAATTGGTATTTGTGGGTCATAATGGGTCCTAGTTCGTGTGGCGAAACATTGTATGTATAGGTCCACGTTTTGATATAGTCCCCATATAACGGCACACATACCATTATTTCTACTAACACAAGATCAGCTGTGCAGATGGGATGTATCGGTCCACTCCTTCTGGTAGCTCCCCCACACAGGGTTCAAGATTGTGAAAAACAGAACGCTCAAAGAAGCATCCAACTCTCTTCAAATTCCACACACAAGCATTTTTGCTAAAATAAGATCTGTTGTGAAGATGATATATACCTGCGAACTCCTCTTGGTACCTCACCCAAAGAGTCACAACTTTCAATATTTTAATTTGTCATAAATTGCGAAACAAGTCAATATGGAATTTAACGGAATTTATAATTTCGCATAAAATTGGATATAAATATTCGATTTCCTTCAAATTTTGCTCATACCAATATTTGTATCTGTATTGGATGAAGTATGCAAATGGAATACCTCGATCTACTATATCTGGAACCTCACACACATTTTTTCTAAAAATTATCACATATCTCACATAAAGAAAGGAAGTAACCAAATAAAGCTCCCGCTCTTCTATGGAAAATAGAAGAGCGCCAGTTCTTCTACGACAAATAGGAGAGCGCCGTTCTTCTATGGCAAATAGGAGAGCTCCAGCTCTTCTGTGGCAAATAGGAGAGCTCCAGCTCTTCTATGGTAAATCCATACTTAATCACGATTGAGATTTAATATTGTGTAATGTTTGAAATCACAACTGAAGATTTTTCTGGAAATGTTTTACAATACCACAATGCAACCTTATTGAGACCTTATTTTTTATTGTGACACTTTTGTAATCGTATCTAATATTATACAATCCTTAAAAGGACACAAGGCTAAATACATAAAAATTTTCGCTGAGTTTTCCAAAAATTCCCACAGCCAATTTTGCTGAATTCAATAAATATTTTATAGAAATTTCAAGGACTCTCTCACGCACCCACACATGTACAAAACATTACAAGTAAATTTCGATATTTCAACGATTTTATTATTGCCATTATTTTGTGTGTGTGGCTCGTTGTGTGGTGGTCCCCTGTCATAACTCTTCTATATCTTGTTGAGACTGCTTTTTTATTATGTAAAGGAGTTTTGGTTGAACATGTCTAACATATGTAGTGACCTCAAATGCCATCATAAATATTTCTTAAAAAATACAACATTTTCCAAAGCCACCAACCAATGACAAGGACATTCTTGGCATATGCAATAGAAAATATCATAAAAAATTGCTTTCGTATGAAGAAATCAAAGGAATCGTCAAAACGCTGATTGAATCAAGAAGTATTTGCGTCAAAATGCCAAACAAGTGTAAACGAGAACGAAAACAACAACAAATATGCCAAACATTCAAATACTTTAGAGTGGCCCGTTTAGGAAACGGAAACGGAAATAAACCTTAACGGATTTCAAGTTTAGCATGATTTGTTTGAGCTACTTGCTGCTCCCTTAAGTACTTAGGTAAAGACGAAGAAGAAGGACGAATGAGGATATTTTTCTGTTGACTTATTAATGCCAACACATACTCGACATGAATCCTTTAGACCTAACTCGTTGTTTTTTTTTTGTGCTTATGATGATGCTCCTTGAAATGTAGCATTTTGTTAGATTCGGAAGGTTTAACCACAAGTTAAGGGGATGTACTTATGTGCGGAAGAGTGTGGGAAATGTTATCATGAACAGTGGGTAACTGAAAGACACTTAATATAGAGAAAATAAATAAAAATAAAAAACAATTGTCGAGAGTTTATAAAAGTTTTAAAGGAAACCGGCAAAGTGATTTTTTGCGAGGAAAGTTCTTTTCCTCTTTTCAGAGACCACTGCTTGGTTCAAATAAAGGTCAAAAAACTAAAACCGCGTTTAGATCGCCTTGCCGAGCTGCCAAGAGGTAAAGAAACTCCACTAATAAACAAACGTTGTTTTTATAAAAACAACAATAAAGGGATAAGCCTGACCATTTTGCAACAACAACAAAAAAGGTAAAGAAACTCTTTAAACACAAAAGTATTGGCATTGATATACTGGGTCTTCAAAATACCGTAAAGTGAATACCGAATATCGGGAGGTACAGTTGTTTGAGGGCTATACGAAAAAGTGGAAAGACAAGGTGTGTGCAAAATGTTTTCCTTCTTAAAAATTCGCTCGAAAGATAGCGGATCAAAAATACATGAGTGCTTGGGTGTAACATGAGTACTTCTAGATGTTACAAACTGAATGACAATGTTGCTATACCCTCTATAGTATGGTGGCTACATTGAGTATATATCATTTGATACGGTCAAAACGTACCCCATCGAAATAACACTTTTATACCCTATGTCTCTTAGGACAAAATCCGTTTTTATGTCGATCTAGGGGCGTCTGACCGTCTGGCTGGCTGGCGCGCCCGATAACAGTCGAAGGGAGTATTCGATTTGGTTCAATCGTGGTACACCGTAATATTATTATTAAACAAGAAAAGATCATTTAATTTTGTGTAAACTTTCAAAATTCTTATCATTGTTCGGTCAGGTGTAAAAATGGATATTATTAGCCCACTTCATCAAGTACCTCCCCAATAGAGGGTGGTCGACATTTTAAATATCTGGAATTAACGTCCAGATAAAACGGCTGAAGCTAGAATCTTAAAATTATACACGAAGACCAGTCTTAGTACGTCGGCTTGTAGTAAGGCTGGGTTTTTGAAAATTCGTTCTAAAAGGTTACGGAAAGTACTAAAAGGACAAACGCAATGAGCTAGCTATGAAATTGGGTGCAGGATAGATGTACCAAAGCGTTTTTGGAAAATCTAACCTTAATTTAACAAAAAATACCAAAATGGCACAATGGTGCCATTATATACCATGTGAGCGGATAGAGCTAAAAACTTGAAATTTGGTATGAGAATTAAGGTTGGGAAAGTAAGTTTGATATGTGACGGTGCTTTTGGAAAATGTGTACTGCAATTGCAAGAAAAGTATTGAAATTTGGTATTAGGGTTCCTGTTCATGTGGAGGTGATTTCGGAAATGTGGACATATCGAGATGGTATCGGAAATGTGTACTAAAATTATAGTATTTGGTATTGGGTGAATGCATAGAGATCTGAAATTTAATTTTTACATTGCTTTGGTATCAATGTTGGATTGGAATTGCGTTCTATATTTGTAGGAAAAGTACTAAATTGTACTAAATTTGGTATTAGGATAAGGGATAGAGCTGAAATCCTGAAAATTTATATTGTGGTCTCTGCTGGTAACAGGAATTGATATATGATGGTGGGTTTGGAAATGTGTACTATAATTGAACGAAAAGTATTGAATTTGGTATAATTTGGTATTGGGTGAACAGATAGTGCTTAAAAATTTAAAGTTTGGTATTAGGGTCCCTGTTCATGGGGAGGAAATGTGGACATATGGAGGTGCTTTCCGAAATGTGTACTAAAATTGTACGAAAAATATTGTATGGTACTTTATTTGGCATTGCGTG